CGATTTGAGTACGGGCAAATTTGTCTTTCGACTCAACTCTGCCTTAGCCACGACTGTTCGAACTGTTTAACGCAGGACACCACTGTCCTTTCGTTTCGCCAGCGTGTCAGTTTCACTCCCATGGAACCTTATCTGACGTAGTGCCATAATGGCATCGTGCTGTTCTCGTTCCTTCAGAACTGGTGGCCTCTCCACTATTGACCCCAATCTTTCTGACATTGATAATATTCTAGACAGATTGCTTACGGACATTCACCCTTAACTTGAATATTGACTAGTTCAATAGAAACGCAGAAGCAGCAGGTTATAAGCAGGGTGTGTTTTCTTTTAAATGTTTTCCGTAAGAACAATATACGAGATTTGCATAACGGTGTGTTATCCGATTGTCACACTCCTTGCGGGTTCACGGCCCGGTTTTCAGAACGATAATAATTCATGGGAGTGTGCTTTCCCTGTTTCATCTGAACATATTATTCTTTGCTTTAGCTTTGGTAGTTACCCACTCTCAGTGAGGTTGACGACTGGATAAAAGTTTTCAGGAAGACGGGGGGGGCTATGTGTCGGTGTGTTTTACGCTTTGCTTTGCTCACGACTGATTGGATGCAACCGACCCATCAATAGCATTTTGAAAATATTCAAATCTTCATACACCTTCAACAGAGACTCGATAGTGGGCCGCTTTTACGTTTATGACAGACTTTTTTGGTTGGCATAAGATTGTGAACTGTGCGATCCATACTTTAAATGATCGCGCCGGTCTTTGCTTGTTTCGTTGCTGCATTCCATGACTTAAGTAACAAAGTCAAAAATCATTCAAAAACAGTAAAAAGCAAGCATTCTGCTATTACATCTTGCTTTAAAGCTTTTATTAAAAGCTTTTCAATGTAGGTATTGTTCAAATCACAGCTTCGAAAATCCAGAGTGGAGCATCAGCTGCGTCGAGAAATCGAAATCCAAACTCATCTTGAGTAAGCGAAGATATGAACTCATTTTCTGGCCTTGTCTTTGCTGCCACTCTACGGTTGTTCTAACTTTTCAGGCATCCAAACATTCTGAGGATGTTCACCTATTTTTGGGATCAGAAACGAGTGGTTCTCGTTCTGGAATATGCAGCCAAAGGCGAACTTTACAAACAGCTGAGACAGTGCGGCCGTTTTTCGGAAAAGCGGTCTGCGACGGTATGTTAATTTCTTTTATAAATGAATTATTAATAACAGCTGTCGTCAAATATTTGCCGAAACTATCATATGAACTTTGGATAATAAGTTTTTTTTACAATAGTGATATACTGATAGCACAGCTAGTTTCAATTGGGATAGCTTTCCTATTACTTCTAGAACTAATGTTAATGCTACAAGTATCACTTCCATTGATAAGGAATGAATACACATCAGGTTATTTATGAAAAATTGGTTGCACCTGTTGACTAACAAAAGCCAACTGTGTGACGAATGCATGAGACTGTTTACTTAGGGTAACAGGTGCAGTATAATCGACTAGCTTGTTCGAAAGAATTAATTTTACGAACTTTGTTGCCATTCAGAATTTTATCTAGCTCTTTTTATAATATCATGCTGTTTCATTTGTTATGTTATAACCCTGATGCTGGTGTGCAGCATCGAAGCATGTCAGTAAATAGAGGATTTTGCATCCTCCTTACCAATTGTTGCTTGTAACCATAGATCGGGAAGCGAGGACCATTAAATGCTACTAGTATTGTTTTATAATTATGCCCCCTCCCCAATAAATTTTATTAACAATGACAATTCTAGCAGTATGCTAGTAAACCGATAAGATCGGCGTTTATTTTTATGAGTGACAGTTGTGAAAGTCGTTCTTAAAGCGGTTATATTTTTACACGTCTAGCGAAAAATTTACTACTGTAGGACTACCAGGGCTATCAGTGTTGGCATTAGTCGTGTAAAATGCTTGATGCTCTGATATTATTTAAACAGTATTATCTGCTAATCGGCAGTGCTGAGTTTTCGGTTGGATCTTCATAAGTATTATCGCGGCAAGAATATATTATGCGTTACATTGTTTCCGTTGTTTAACTAAAAAGGTGGTTTTAATCAAGGTGACTTGATAACTGGAGCTGCTTGTTTTGTAGCTTGAAAAACTTTAAGCATTTGGTCTAGAAGAATATATACGTTGACTACAGTCTGGACTGAAGAATTGGTGTCATCCTTAGTATTTATCCCCAAAGAGTTATGACACTCTGTAACTGTGTCTTGACATTATTTCATCGTATGCTGTTTACCTTCAAAACAAACGATGATGTTTAGAGCTGAGTTTGAGTCTATAATTTACTCACAATCTCTATTTGTAATTTTTGTTTTAATAATGTATTTTCCGTTCTATAAATATCCCCTCATTTTAGTATATCTATCAGTTAGCAGACGCGTTGATCTATTGCCATTCCAAGAGTGTGATCCATCGTGACATAAAGCCTGAAAATCTGTTAGTAGGACTGAAGGGTGAACTGAAGATAGCTGATTTTGGATGGTCAGTTCACAGCGTAAGTGCCAGGTAAGAATATTGCCGGATAGGCTTGTTCGTTGAGTCGAATTTCAGTTTCTTCCATTACGGTTAAAAATCGGTATTCATCTATTTTAATTAAGTTGCACTACACTTTATACTTTAAGATTGAACGTTCTTTCTTTATG